GAAAACAATTAACTCTATCCCAGCCAAAACCAGCACACATACTGTTAATTTTCACCACCAATTTATACAGATTAATATCGGTAGAGCTGAAAAAGTCCCATAATGGAAGCACACCTATAAAAACCTGAGCCTTTACAGCATGCTAATGGCTTTCCATTAGGTCAGATTAATGTTTTCTGCTTGGTGCAAATAGGTATTTAACAACCAGCTTGCAGTTTGTTAGGAATAAATAACTGCTGGACCAATCACTTCACCTTTGGGAATAAATCTGCACTTTCAGTGCTTGCTATTAAATCACTTCTGCAGGATGATTCTTAACATCTGCAGATTCAGATCTGAGGATGCCGGCTGGATCCAGCAGCAAATAGATTCTCCTCCTGTATTCGCATTGCTGTGACTCAGAGAGGTGACAGATTCTGCTGCTGCTTGCGGTCCCACTGCCCCGTCAGACGCAGGGCACGGCGCTGATGGGATGTCATCAAAGCACATCAGCAGCAAAGGATCCAGGAATTAACATTACATCCCCATGGTATCCAAGAGCTGCTAAGGCAGAACTTTCGGTGACATCAATAAAATAACAAGGATAACGTTTGTGGTGTTTCCCTTTTTAAAAGGCGTAGGAAATTAATTGAAGCCAGGTTCTCTTATTTTGAAGAAAATACACACAGAAGTGAAAATGCGTAGTTTTATATGTTTGCACTTGTTTTTTCCACAGCACTGGAGTTTTAAATGTCTGTTGACAGTTGACTGGACAGATTTCAGTTGCTAGAAGAGGGGCTATGGAGAGGTTCCTCCCTTGGTGTTTCTCTTCATCCCAGATTTTTTAATCAGCTCTTCAAGTCATGTCAAAATCCATATTGTTTGCAACCTAGATATTCTCTCCTTATAGATCTTCAAATAGCAAGAGACCCATTATCACTTCTGTTCCTCCTACAGCCCTATTCTTCTCATCTGAGAAATGTTATTTGAAACTTCTATTAATAGTAGAGAGGTATATTTGCACTATATTTTTTATGAAGAGGCTTCTTAGAACCGCTTTATAACTTATACTAATGCAAATTTACATATGAGGATCTTGGATCTGGGGATCCTCAGAGCTATGTTTCCTAATTGTTTGATCTGTAACGGGCTCTACCACCAGAAATAAATCATTAAGTGCTCTGGTTCCTGGATACCCAGCTGGAGGCTGGGCCTGACTTTGTGTGTGTTGAACTCATGCCCTCTGTATGTCAATCCACTTTGAAGTGTCTAAAATAACAGGTCCCAAAACAAACAAATTCAGAATTATTAGAGACTTCTGAAAATGTTCAGATAAAATAGAATGCAGTTCCATCAGGTAGAGAGGCAGAATCTTTTTAACCATGCGTGGTAGCATTAAAACAAAACTTAGTACAAAAAATGTAAATACTGCCTCTATTTTGATGTGCAGGAGAAAGTAAGATTGAGGGCATGAAATATTTGAATAGAAATTTAACTGAACTTTGCATTATATTTTTGAAGTCTCGTGAAGAAATGTATTATTCAATACATATTAACAGCACAGTTGGTTCCTGTTTTACTCATGAAACAGCAGTTATCCTTGGGAGAAAAAGACTGCAGTTCTAAGAGAAAACCTCAAAATAATAGCCACTGTTGAATCATCCTTAAGCAACATACTTAAGGAATATCTCAGTTATTCACCAAAAAAAACCACCTCTCCAGAATGCTGAAAACTCCAGTTCTGGGTTTACCGTCAAGTCATGCCTCAGACTGAATTCCAAAGGAAATCTGCAGGATTTGTAGCGTTTTGTAGACTTGTTGGTGAAAATAAAAGAAAGCATCATCCAGGGCCCACTGTTAAAGGCTGCTCTCAGAGTGAGTGAATGAGGCAGTTTTTGAGGAAGCTACTGCACAGAAGAGGCTGAAAGCCTGTTCTTGCTCCATCAAAATCAAGAGAAATATTGTTAGGGAATGACAGGAGGATACAGGGGTCCTGTGTCTGTCTGAGCAGCCGTAGGGTGTAACCGGGTGGATGTAGGTCATGGATTGCAGCACTTGGGTAGCGGCAGCTTTTACACATGCACATGGGGAAAGCTGGTTCTCCACATGGTTAGCATTGCAGACAAGCTAAACAAAATAGAACTACTCCGTTATGAATGACATTTTACAGATCCTGACATGTTTGGCTGGACTATAAAGAGAAATTGTTTCAAGTCTGATTTACTATTAATTAATATAATTATGTTCCACCTACACTGTGCATTCAGTCCTGTTTTCTATCGCAATTTAAAAGCGTGGATTCAAATTACCTCGGTCAGTGCAGTTTAAAGCAAATGACCACTTCATGACATTTATTTTAGAGACATTATTTTTTCACTGTGGCAGCCCAATCTGCCTGGTGCCGAGGCCAGGAGAGGAGGTGAGTGTGCTCCACGCCGCTGCCTGGCACTCTGCGCTGGCAGGATGGTGTTGAGAGTTTGAGAGCAAACACAGTATCCCTCAGATTGGGTTTCTGTGGTGTCTAGAGTGGTCTTTCTGTTTGGAAGCACACAAATTTGAATAAGAAAAACAGTCCTAGAGGTTTGGTTGTTTTTTTTTTTTTCCCCCTGGGACTTGACATAAGGGCTGTGAAGCTCAGTGTACCTGTACAGAAGACATGACAGGGGGGTCAGGATGGCACAGGAATGGCTGTTTGTCGTCCAGAGTTCCAGCCTTGGCTTCCTAAAGATGTCATGTGCCACAGTTAATATTTAATAAGTATGAGGTTTGCACAGTAAAACTACATTACTCATCTGTTGTCCAACTGAATCCTTTCTTTTTTACCCATGGGATATAATCAGCAGTCAAAGCTGTGTTTATATGTGCAGTTTTGACTGAAGATAAACTTGTGAAATACTCTGAACATAAGGATAACCTGTCATGTATGAGGTATTGGCTAAACAACACTTTTGTTATGCACTATTTTTCTCTTTTTTCCCTTTGCAAAACTGACTTTCAAAGGACAGGACAACTACTTGGCAGAAGGAAAGAGAAGATACTGCCTGCTTTTAATTCTGAAAGATGATACGATTATTGGTACACTTCTTCTCAGAAAACATTTGTGAAGACAGGTTATTCTTGAAAATAAGGTCTCTCGTGTTGCTGTAGTTGCCTAACAATATTTTGGCAAAAATTCTGTCTGACGAAAATGAGCTGATGACAATTCAACAGGGGATGTAGGAACAGCATCTCCCCTCCCATGTAAAATAAATATCTCCAACATGTATTTAGGTGCCCAACTCCTGTTGAAATTAATTCATGATGGAAATTTCACTATGGATCTAAATTCACAAAATAAGAAATAATTTGTGCCTGTGTAGAGATAGCTCGTTCCTGAATATTTATTACCTATAAAATCCATTTTCTTTCTACCACCTCACTCTTTCTGGCAGCATCTCCTGATGGGAAGCTTGTTACAGGCAGGATGATGGAATTTGTCCTGCTATTGCTTCTGTTGTGATTTTTCTCTGATAAAAGACTTTGTTTGTGAGTAACAGCCAAGGAACAACAGCAGCATGAGATGTTCCTTATAGAAAAGATGGCATGATGGGCCCAAAATCCTATCACTCTGATTTTTGTCTTAACTTGCAAAGATAAGATGGTTTACAGTGAGTAAAACACAATGTTCATTTAAGTGGGAAAATAAAGTTATTAGCTTTTACAGTAACTTTCGGTACATTTGCAGGTCATATTGCATTGTCTTCCATTTATTTTACATTAATGGTTGTTTTTTATTATAAGACTTGATTTTTCCTTACCTGGACTCAGCCTGTCCAGTGATCTTCGTATTTTTATCCTTAATAGGAAAATCTGTCAAACTCTTTCAGCTATACAGAAAAATGGGGAAATCTTTTTTTTTGCTCCCCCTCATCCCCAAATGCTAAAAACCTTTCCACATAGAAAAAGCTGTAATGTCCTAATTTTAACTTCAGAGCTATTTCTGACCCAGAAAAACCCTGTGAGAACAAACAAATACTCACCACAGCCATGAGATATCAGCAAGTTCACTGCAGTCATTGGAGCAGTGAGTTTAACTTGGGAAGACAAGCTGTAGGACTCAATTGTTCTTCAATAAGGTGGAAGGAGGAATATTATAATGTTCAGTGAATTGGAGAAGACATATTGTGGCTTGCCCTGTGAAGGATGTCTGCCTTTATGGCATAAAAATCTTGCTCTGTATTCCAAGAAATGTCATTTAAAATGTAGAATGAGTGCACAGCAGGAATAATATTGTCTGAGCATGCGAATTTTATGCACTAAGCATGATACAGAAACAAGAATATTTTTTCTGACAGAAACTGGTGACTAATGCAGCTTTCTTCCTTAACAATATTTTCTTCAGCTGGACATTAATCTCTTGGCAGAAATTTCTGGAAAATCAGATATTTCTCAGTAAAAATTTATAAGAAAATAAATGTTTTACCTAGCTAACAAAACAGAATTGACAACCTTCAGAGGGGGCGAAGTCTCATTTGCAGTAGAACTACAGCAACATAACAATTTTCTTTTGTATGTGTATAAATAAGTATATATATTTCCTATTACTGTGATAATGGGCTTATACTAAGCCAAATGTGGTTATATATTATTCCTAGCATCTTGCTTGAGTAGTATGTCTAGGCAAGTATATCCCTCCTCCCCATCTGTTTGGCTGATATTTTTCTCTGAAATCCTAAAAAGGTGAAAACATTTAAGTTAAATAGTCACATAGCTGTAATTGAGAACCTGCGGGTAGCTCTGCGTGTCACTTCTTCCATCACAAATCATGACAGCTACCAAGGAAGTACTTGAGTACAACTTGTAATTCGTAATGACTTACATTTTCTTTTTAACTTCCATCCTTTTCCCTAACCTTCTCTTCTATTTCAGAGCTCTTAATGAGAAGGACTTTACCATCATAAACAATATTTTTCTAATAGACTCTCAAGAAAGGTTTTTCACTGGTGCCCTTGACTCAGCCTGGTGCTTTGTTCTTTTTCTAGCTTGCACAGACAAAGAACTGAGGAATCTCGCTTCCCGACTAAAAGACTGGTTCGGTGCTCTTCACGAGGACGCAAATCGGGTCATCAAACCAACAAGCTCGGAGACGGCACAAGGCAGTAAGAAAACACCTTTCCCGTTGAACTTTTGAGTGTTGTAGGCAGCTTCCCAGCCTGCGAGAGCATTCGGCTGAGCACAACTGTTAGTGCTACAATGTCGTGTCAAGCCCTAGGTCCCAGCAAGTAAGCAGGTGCCCAGCAGATCAGATCCTGCAAATAAATAGCTGCACCGTTTTCTAAAGGAGCTGCGGTCACTCTGTACTCTCTCTCTCGCCCAAACTGCTCTAAAAACTGGCAGTCAGAGACAGAGAGACCTTTACAAGTTAATCAGGCAAATAACTGTGTCTGAAGGCCATGGAGGTCACATCTATACTCGTAAATAAAACTGCTCAGGGACTTTTCTCAAGCCCTGAGGTTAACTAGCATGACACAGTTTGTGTCAACAGTTAAACTCCACGACCCTCCAAATCAGTGTGGCTGCATCCAAATCACTTCTTGGGGATGGGCAGTGGCGTATGCTTACCCCCCAGTTTATGGCCAAGCATTTTCTGACCCAGTGCCAGCGGCATGAGCCAAAAACGTGTCATGCAAGTGTAGGGAAAATGACGCCTGTGTTGGAAAAGACTCACTTTGATTTTATTTTTAATTTCACCTTATACAAGAGAAATAAAAAATTAAAATAGCCACATTGCAGCCACAGAGCTGGAATAGTTAAATGGGTTGGAAAGCTGGAATCTATTGTGTCCCAGGTATTTAATAACACCATCTTTGCTTCCTTTGATGCTTTTTTTTTTTTTTTTAAAGAAAAGAAGAAAACGAACAGTTTAGAGGACGTTTATTCTCTGTGGGTTAAGCCAACATGACTGATTTTGATGTCATTTACCCACCAGGGAGGGGAAAGATTCAGATAACAGCATCAAAAGAGGTCATGTTCATCAGAGAGCAGATGCGAATTCATTTTCTGTAAGGACTCATTAATCCTTCTAAATAGTATGTCCCAAAACACACGGGCCCTTGGGTTGCAAAGTAGGATGCACAAGTTATCTAGGTGTGTGACTCACCTTCGCTGCCCTGATTCTTTGTTACAAGCTCTCTAAAGCCAGCGTCCACACACAGAGAATTAAAGGCTTCAGCCAAGTGCTCCCTCTTACAGCTTTTCTGACCTCAGTGCCTCGTTTCCCCGTAGTGTGAGGTTAAAGGTGCAGTGGAGCAGACCCAGCACATAAGGATGGGCGTTTACTGTCGGTCTCCACAGCCACTCTTCTTCTGTGCTACCTCCGAGCTTGTGCAGCAATAGATTGCCTCTTCCTAAAGCAACAGAACATACACCAAACTATATTGCTCGACACTATATTCAAACCTCGTTAATGCCAAGTAATTGTATCTTTAAACTATGTGGCGCAACAAGCCGTGTTCTGTGTAAACTATCTTTTTCATATGTCTTTTACTTTCCATAGTATTTACAACAAAGTCAGTACTTTTAAAACCGTATGCGCTACTTATTTCTTGAACGGTACTCCAAAACCAGATATTATCATGCAGAGGAAACTGAACCATAGTGCAAAAAGACAACTGGATTTACAGCTAATCATGGCTTCGAGATGTGAATTCATTTCAGAACCCATGACAGAAAATGCCAGAGACTTAAAATTTCGTCTGAAGTCCTTTAGGCCCAGAAACACGTGAAACCTCATTTTATCAGAATGTCAAAAGGATGTTTTTCATGTTTTTTTTTTTTTTTTTTTTTTCTGAAGCAATTTCAGTGAGAAAAACATTTCTGGTAATTCTGCAGTGTTTGCTCTGATTCACAGAGGAGCTGTTATCTCTTTTTAGTTCAGTTTGATTCTTGGCAGCTTTTATATGAAAGGCTGCCTTGATGATCTTAAACACTTGATCTCAACAATGTTCATTTTTAGACTGTTGACTTAGTTTGGCACATTTTCTTATTTTCTTATATGTCAGTTAAAAAAAAAAAAAAGAAACTTTAGGAGTTAAGATGCCTAAAACATTCTTGAATGCCACAAAGCTTGGGCTTGTTTTTTCTTTTTAAGAGTTTGCAACAGTATTCATGAATTAATCTGCATGTGCCAAATTCTACAGCTTCAAATCTCTCTGGTAGCACTGAGAATACACACAGAGTAAGGATGGCGGTATTTGGCTTCCTCCAACAGCAAACATTTGTAAAAATGACAGATATCTTAAACGGGGTTCAGAATTCAAAACAAAGTTCACATACCCAAGCTGAAAAAAAAGGATTTGTGTGAATCCTGGCAAACAGGACACACACAACTCTGGAAATCCACTCCAATGTACACATTTCCCTTTTTTTATTGCTCTGCGTGTGTTGCCCTCCTCACCAAGCTGATTACTTTATTAAACTGAACTGGTTTGGTTATGCCTGTAAAGTCTTAAAAGACATGCACATCCTCAAAGTAATCCATTTGGGTATGCCCCTGTGGCAGTAAAAGGAACAGATGGTGAGATGCGACGACTGCGATGCCTCGGACACATCAGCTGTCTGGAGAAGGTGTTCCAGCAGAGATTTCTCTATGCTACATTAAATTTTCAAGATGTTATTGTGAGTGTAAATAAGCTGTTTGAGTGTATTAAGTTCACCCTCAGGTGAAGAAAAAGTGCATTGTTTTGTTGTGGGTTGGTTTTTTTTTTAACTCTCTTGAAAGGAAAAGGATGAGGGCAACTCACTGTGTTTGAAATCTGAAACCTTCATTCAATGAGCTATCTGCCAGATACCAGCAAAGCACCATAAACCAGAAACTTTGTCTTCTGCGGGCTTTGTACAATTGAAATCTCCTCAATAAATAATATAAGCAACTCAGGGACATGCTTTGACAGAAGGAAATAATAAAACTAATTAGGTAGTAAGATCAGATTCAAATTGCTCCTGTGCCTGTTGATAATTCATAACATTCCCATATTGTATCTAGAATAGTCTCTTTGGTTGGAGTGGGAGTTGTTTTTCTTTTACTAGAGATCTATGCAATATAAAGGATTTTTTCTGGGGAACACTTCTTCTCCTCCTTCCTTTACTTTAAGTGATGGGGGAAATTAGGTTAATTATCCCCCTGTTAATTTAATTGTAGTGTACTTTAATAAAATAAAACTGGCTCATTTAAGTCAACTCTTGAAGGGGGAAAATAATTTTATGTGCCAGGAGGTATGTTTATTTTTAATTAGGATTTTCACTTAAAGACTTTTTTTAATTTAATTCCATTTTAATTCAGAGGAGGTGAAGCATTTTATGTATTAATGGGATATGAGACTTACATGTAGGTCACCGGTTTGATTTCCTTCCAGATCTGTAGCGAATGAAACTTGTTAGGGTGCTGAACAGCTGTCAGTCGGAATGAGAAACGTGATGGTCTCAGTCATCGTCCTTGTGAGCAGGTGTCCAAATGAGAGCGACCACCACAACTGACTAATTGGCACCGTGTTGGCAGCCTCTGCCAAGGAGCCAAGAGCAGGAGGGATACGGAGCCTGCACCGTTCTCTTGTTTCTCACCATGGGCACTGCAGCACTGAGCTGATGCACAGAAAGACACAGAAAAGTTCTCACTGAGGTTACTGTTATTCTGGGTCTGTTGTCCAGCCTATTAACCAAGCACTTAATTCACTACGTAATTACAGTATGTGGGTTTTTTTGTTTAGCATATTGTATCATATTTATAAGCAAGTATATCAAAATACTCCAAAAAGGAGTCAATTAATTCAACATCCCTTGGCCTCACCACGTTGATGGGAGCACGGTGACCTCCCAGTGCAGGTATGTGAACTCCAAGAACAATTTTCCATCAGCTGCCCTGGTTACGCAGTAAGTCAGAGCCCACGTTGCACACTCGGGGCACACTTTGCTTTTGTTCCTGTGCCTGGGTGCGGAGAGCATCCAGGATTGCTGGGTTTGGACTGCAGATGCAACCCTGCATCTGGTGATTTACAGGCAGGAGCTTTTACATGAGACAATTTGAAGTGGAGGTAGATACTACTGTTCACCTTCAACCACATATTGAGGGACAGTTAAAGAATAACCTTTTCACTGATAATAACCATCTAGCTAAATGCATTCTGTCACTCCTACCACTGTAATATTTAAAGACTTCCAGACCACACTGTCTAATAATACAGCACTGCTTAATAATACAGCCCTTAATAAATCTAATCTGGAACTCTGGTCACAACAGTGAAAGCTCCCTTGTTTATAAGAAATTACAATCAAAACCTCTTCAACTAATGTAATTAGCTCTCTTTGTAAGTAACCTTTCATGATTGTATCCCGCACCCAAGCCCCCGTGGTATGTCACAGAGCAGCCTCATGTTCACATCAGTTACTATCTTGTGATCTGCTCAGACAGATCAGCACTGAGGGCACGCTGTGGTTGTATCCCTCAAGGCATGTTGTACACACAGATAAAGACTTCCCAGCAGGGAGGAAAACAGGACTCAGAAATAATCCACAGACACTGTCAGGGGCAAGTTCATGCCAGGATCTCCTCCTCCCTGCGCTGCTTCTTGGCAGTTCAGAGACGCACAGGGCTGATCAACAGGTACCGTACTCAACTGGTTGTACAACAGACTTTGTGTTATTCACCTTAGCAGCAGTAAGTGCCATGACAGGGCGTAAAGATCATCACCAGAGAGAGGCTCTGTGCAGGGAAAGAGCAGCCAACAGAACATGGCTGGTTTTTTTTTCCCCTGGAAGCTGTTAAACTAGGAGAGCATGTGCTGATCCCAGCTCCACCAGGCAAGTGAATGATCCACCCCTGCCCGTTCGGCTACTTTTAAGCTTCCCCATGGTGAGGACTCAGGAACAACAGACACCCACCCAAGGCAGGACTGCATGCCCTGCTCCTCGGTGCCTTGTAAAGACAAAATCAAGGATTCTTAATCCTTTCACTCAACAGGAGATTGCACAGTGACCAAATCCTGCTTGCCTTCTTCAGATGAATAAAATAATTGAAGTCAATAGTCTTAATTGCTTCAGCAAGGCAAGCAGGCTTCCTCCCTACATCTATTCACATGGCCTTTTTCTTTTTCACTATGTTCAAACTCAATTAGATAATGTTAGAGGAGATAACAGCAGAAAAATGTGATGAAATGTTCAGCATGATTTCTCTCTTCCCTGCCTGAGCTACCTCCAGCCCTGAGGAAATGGTGTTACCTTCTTCCCTTCTTAGAGAAACATGTATTATGAATGACATAAACCTTCCCATTAGTTAACCCTTCTGATTGTTCCTCCATGTCACTGACAACCTTCAGCTGCAATTGCATACAAAAAGCACAGCTTTCAGCATAAAGCACTGCCCTCCTTTGGATTAATACCTAAAATAGCAGGTAGGCTACAGAGCTCGGACAAACTGTCAGCATGATTCCAGCAACACCTTAGGTTGCACTTTAATAAAGCAGCATCCTGAAATGAGACTTGACATGTACAGCAAATAAAGCTAAGCTTGACCTCTTTCAATGAAAGGTGCAGCAAAAGGAAAAAGCCCATCAGGCTGCTTCTCCATGTGGCCAGTGGCAGAATGAGCCGTGCAGAGGCAGGTTCCCACACACGGCTGAGACAGCGTGAGCACGAGGTGCCCAGGGTGGGTGGCTCAGGTGCCCTCAGGTACCCTCTGTGCCTGTAAATCCCAGCCAGTGTGTCTGCGTTTCTGAGTCCTCATTGAAACCAATACCCTTATTATCAGATTTCTTAGCTCTGCATTACAAATACACTTTTTTTCACATCATAGATAACTCCGAAATTGGTCCGTATTTATTCCATGCAGTGAAAAATAGTGGCAGTGTGGATTTATAATGCCGTGTCTTGTTTGTGAAAGAAGGCAACGCCACTGTTTTTGTGGAGACTGCAGAGCACGTATCTCATTGTGGGTACCTGTGCGCATGACTTGGTCTGTCTGTGATAACCAGTGCTGCTACTGCAGTCTTTTAAGGGTCTGGCTATTAAAATGAATGATGACAATGGCTTCCAAAGTGCTGGAAGAGCAGAATCCACTATTGCTGCACAGTCCTGGAGGCCACAAGAAGGAGTGGTGCTGGCAGGGCATACAGGAGCACGTGGAGCTCCCAGCTGAAGCTGTGCCATTCTTCGGTGGTACAAGCGAAAGAGATGCTTGGCCCCTTCTCTCCCCCTGTGTCCCCCAGGCAGCTCGCAATCCGGATCAAAGGATTTTGTTGTCCACTGCAGGAGGCAGGGCTTTGAAGAGTGAAAAGCTAGGATGAGAGGTGGAAGGTGAAAGCACAGTAGGAAAGGATTTGATCAGGGAAGTAGAAACAGATCTGGGAAAGCAGGATTTAAATCACATTCAGACTCAGTCTAGTTTGAAAATAGAGTGGATGCAGCCTTTTCTCCTATTTCAGTTTCTTGGAACAAAGCCAACCCACTTGGGCTGAGGACAGAAAAAAAAAAAAGATAATTTTTTGAGTAGAAATAACTTTGAATTACAGTAATCAGCTATGGATCTCAGCCCTCCCCACCCCACATAGTGTGAGTAGTGCTTTAGCTGTTCTTGGGTTTTAAGCTTTACACACTCAGTTCAGTCTTAGAATTTTGTTCTGCTTTGGGCAAGTTAGGTTAATGTTCAGAGTCCAGCCAAAAAAAAACCATGAACAAGGCTTCAGCTTAGCAATAACTCCTGTGCAGCGAGCGTGCTGGGGCTCACTGGGGAATATTTGCCTATCTTGCTACAGGATTTGACACCAGCATACTACCAATCTGTAAGGATTCCTTAGGCTGGATGTTCAACAAACTTGACATGAACTATGACCTGCTGCTGGATCCCTCGGAGATCAGTGCCATTTATCTGGATAAGTATGAGCCATGTGTCAAGCCTCTCTTCAACTCTTGCGACTCCTTCAAAGACGGAAAGCTTTCGAACAACGAGTGGTGCTACTGCTTCCAGAAGCCGAGCGGTGAGCTGTGCAATTTGCAGTAGAAAGTTGTTTGGGTCTCCCTCTGTTCCGGGTTTGATTGACCTGCGTATAGGTATAGTTTGGTAATTGGCAGTCAGCTGCTTTAAAAAGCTCTTTTCTCCAGCACCGGTGTGAAAGGGCATTGTGTAACGATGTTTAATGTCACAGATGAACTACATTAATATACCTTGATCATGAAAACAAACAAAGAAGCAGTAAGTGCACACAAGAAATAAGCTCTATTGCTGATAGAAAGCTCAAGAACTTGCTCTTTTATTAAAGCAGAAAATATTCAATTAGCAAATCATAAATTGGAGAGCTGACATTATGTCAGTTTGGTGAAAAGAGGGGAAGAATGGTTTAACAATGAAAATGGCCCCCAAACACTATTCTCAACTACAGTGTGTTGCTTTTTTTTTTTTCTTTAATTAGCAGAGCTAATGACATAAATTTGTTTTGCAGTACAGTACCAGCATATGGGCTTCTTTCGTTCCCAGGTGTATAGTAGTCTACATTTCATGTCAGTAGTGAAGCCAGTCATTACAGAGTCTGTCCCGGACCATCTGGAAACTGATTCTCATCCATTATATTTTAGGTCTTCCTTGCCAGAATGAAATGAATAGAATTCAAAAGCTAAGTAGAGGGAAGAGTCTGTTGGGTAAGTTCGATTACTTGTTATTCATTTACTCAACTAATTAAAGCTTCTGTGATTATTGTAACTTTATATGCAGTAATGGTTTTTCAATTAGAGACTAATGTTTTGAGTCAGGAATATGCACCACGGAGTGTAGGCCTGACACTATGAAATTAAACAAATAATGAGATAGCAACATACAGAACAGGTGTCAGCATGGCAACGGGTTCAGAACTAATTTACAGCTCTCCAGAAAAGCAAAGCCTCATCTGCACAGAGCTTAATACTGCCTTCATCACCTCGTAGGTCAGAATAAGTAGAGAGGCTGTTTGATAGTCAAGCGTCCCATTTTTGAAAGGTGACTGAAGGTGCCACAGTGCAGGATCATGTCTTCTTCCCATTGTGGTGCAATACGTGCAGTCTTTGGGGTTCAGTTTTGCCTGATCGCCCTTAAAAATATTTCAATATATTCCATGTATCTGAAAACAGGAATTCATATCATCACACTGTAGGCAGCCGTGCAGGATGCTCTGTGCTGTAAGATGTGATGGTGCCTGCCCCTCTCTCTGTTGACTATTGGGAGCCTGAACTGCTTCATAACTTACACTGCTCTGATGAATATCTAAAATTAGGTGCCCCATATGGCATTTTCCCATTTAATCGCTAAAAAAATCAGGTCACTGAACTGAGTAAATGTGAGGTAATTAATTCCATACCCTAAAATCACACAGTGTTATGTAGCCTGGTGTTTATGTGCTGGTATCTTATTGAAATTTCTGTCCTAGAGCGTTTGGGTACACAGAGACAAATCACACGAGGCATAGCAGTACAGATTAAAGTCTCTGTTTACAGAAAGCACTGCATTTCACCCTTGAAGAGTCGGGCTTAACTCAGACCCGGGCTGTCAGGCCCATGTCATGTTCTTCTAGCGTCACTGCCGCAGCACAGAGCGTGCCTGTCAGCTCGGCTGCAGTGCTGCTTCTTCGAGTGCAGCCTGCTTCTCAGGTCGCTCTCAGATTTTAGTCCAAAGTTTCTAGATCCTCACTAGCAGACCGAGCTTCTGCAAAGCTCACCTCAGCCAAACCCTGCCATTCCCAGATGCCGCTGCCATTTGGATGCAAGGTTCAGGTACCTTATGAACAATCCCGACCTGGATTCGTTGGTTTAAAATAAGAATAAACATTCCCAAAGGCCACAGGGACAATGGTTTAGTTCCGTCATCTTTTCATAGCAAGTTCACATAAAGATTAAGATATTTCAGAGTTACAGCTCCTGCTGTTCACAGCTGTGGGAGCGAAAGGAGGATTGATTGCTCAGTTGTATGTGTGCTCCATTCAGTAAATATTTTGCATTTGTGTTCAAATGCATGTTGTGGCAGAGGAAGTCATGGTGTTCTCTGTCTCGTGGGTGTCATGATTTTCAAAGCCACCTAAAAGAATAAGAAGCCGAGTTCCTGATAGCTTTGGCTATCCCATATTTATTTTATGCTTTGCTGTTATTTGCTATATGCAATAAATGTCATCTAGGTTGAAACATAAGTGGTTTGTTCCGGTGTGCGGGGAAAAATGATGGCTATATTGCAGGTAGTACGACATGCAGGCAGTTGTAGCACATCACTGGGATCTGATCACAATAGCAGGAGTAAAATGACAAAGTAAAAGCAGAAAGAATGGTCCCTTACCACAAATAACTTCTAGTCAACTGTATTAGGAAAAAATGAAGGATGAAAGTGGCTAAGCTCAACAAATCAAGAAGTGTCAGGCACAGGTTGTTCCACAAGCTAGAAAATTATAATATAGAGAGGAACTCTTTGCTTCACCTGCCTTGAAAGTCTGCCTGCATAATGGCACTGGTCTGTGAGATTTTAATCTGATCTCATAGCTATTTATACAACAGAAAACATTGTCTTTTCTCTTCACCAAATGAAAAATCATGCGAATGGAAACCAAAACATACACGTGACAAAAAACACACTTGTAGCAACAATAAAGACTGAAAAGAGAGACTAATATTTTCAGAGAAACTAGCCCTTAATTATTCTCTTTCCTTCTCTGTCCCCGACATACAGAACACAGCATTTTACAGTCTGGGCAGGACGAATAAAGAAGATTTCTGTTAACTTGTATCCATTGATAAAAAATGATGACTTTTGATATTTTGCTCTCTATGTATTTTTCAAAACACATGACAGTTGAAACAAAGTACTTCAAAGCCATTGCCATTAGATGTGTTGAATTTGGAGGCTTTCAAATAAGAGTCTAGCATCCCGGGGGATGGAATTAAAAAGTAAACAGCACTATTCATCTTTTCCTACCAGATTTATCTAGAGTACAATTAACTGCAGAGAGTGTACTTTTAGAGCATACAACTGTGCAGCCTGATAATGCTTCTCCCACATCGCTAAGGTAATAAATTTCTGCTCCCGTCACTGTTTTCTTCTGTATCAGCTCTGTGAATTCAGCTAACATAATCGCTAATACGGGGAGCTGTGTGCTGGCTAGCACTTAATTCTGTAGGCTTTTACCTGTGTGCTTCACACTATCTTGAGCATATAATTATTCTCCCCATGTCCTCTGAGGAAGGGGAGTATTATATAGATAAGGCAATAATGCCCCCAAAAAAGAGATATAGGTCTGGATCCATAAAGAGGATATAGATACAACACCACTGTTCAAGTTTGCGTGGAATAATTAAATACTCCGTGGGATGGAGAGAGATGGGGAAGCAGGATTCACTAGCCTGAGGCAGTGCAGTGGGGAGTGACTAACGTTTTATAGTGCTTAATGGTAAAGCTGGTCCACTAGCAGTGCTCTCCACACTTGTGCAAGAACCTCTGGAGAGGAAATGTGAACTCCTTTCTCCTTCCAAAACCTGCAGGTGTTCTCTGATGCCAAACCAAATTATGGAGAGAAATGTTCCCACGAAATGGGCTGTCTGGGTGCCGTGCTCCAGAATAGCAGAGCTTGTAGCCAGAGCTTATTTCTAATGAACACAGGGACTGATTTGTGTAGGGTTTACGGGACAGATCATCACACTGTACAACACTTGCACCCAGTGACTCTCTGTCCTCACCGGATTATCACCTGCATCTGACACATTGGAGAGGACATGCTGTAATCTTCCCTCTTATGGTCGGAAAATACTGTGACATTAGTATGCATAGCTAAATATTTAAAGCTCCAGTGTTACATGCAAATTGGCACAGATTTCCCGTGCAGAAGGAAAAGTATCTTCTACTCTTCGCTGTGACCCAAAGTGTGAATCCCTTCCACACACAGCTATGTTGGCAGTGAGCCTGGGCCATAATTTATTTTTAAATCTATGGCTTTTATGGGCAGTGTGAAACATTTTAATACCTTACAAGAAACACAGTGAAACTGTGCAAAAATTCCTGTTTCAAAGAAGAGAAAGGTTGCATTGCCCGAGGAAAAGAGAAAGCATGAGACAGTTTAAAATGCAGAGGTTGTTCTCCGCTCACCCCGTAATGCCGCTGAAATTCCCCCTTTGATTCTTCCCTGGAGCCAGATGCTCATCTGATATAAGAGGGGAGCTCTAGTGACACAGGTACAGCTATGTTGATTTACACTGGCTCAAAATCAGTACCTGAGCACTTTTTCCGAGGTTGGTTATAGTATAAACGCCTGGAGCGCTTAACAGAGAGAAGACATGGGCATAAATATGAAAAAAAAAAAAACAACAAACCTTAATCATTATTAAATAAAAGATTGAACAGTGAGCATTAATTTACAAAAGCCTGTAAAGCGAATATATATACATGGTTATTAGAACCATTTTTTTATAAATAGTGAAAATAAATCTTTGGGTAGTCATCAGTATGCTTACATTTGTACACGAACATAAGGGGGGTACATATAAGCAAACCTGCCGTAAAATCAGGCTTTGAAGTTATTTAAAATACTCTCACTAATGGATGGTGAAGTGGTCTCCAAAACTGATCCGATATGCAAAGACTTCTGCAGATGTGCAAAGGTTTCTGTTCTCATCTTCCAGACCTACATTAGCAGCACTCAAATGTTAGACAAGACCTGCAATGCCGTGAGTTTGGAAATTCAAGGATTCACTTTGTACATAGATGTGTGTGTGTGAGAGACAGAGAGATTGACTGACTTCCACTTTTACATCTTTTATATAGGAAATTTCATGACATTTGGGCATCACCCTCTCTTTCATTTTTTACTGGAAATAGCCGCTTTGACACATGAACTGTCTGAACAGATGCTATACACATGGAACTAGTTAAAAAATTTACTGCGTGACCAGTAAATCACTGGTATCTTTGACAAAGGAGAAAAATACTTTCTCAAAAATCATTTGAGACAAGAAATTCGGGGGCAAGGGTGGATTTCTGCCATGTTTCAAATTGAAGCAATTGGCAAAGAAGGGAAAATGACTGTACTGACCTGCCCTGGGAATAAAACTAACTCATCTCGAAGGAGAAGAGGGCTTTTCATATTGAAGTACATTTACTGTATCTGCTGAAAATGGTGGGAACAATAAAACAGGTTTCTCCCAAGAGCTTCCCTTTCTGCAGAAACCAGAATGAACCACACTCTACAAGGATGAATTATATTGGTTCTATTTTGAGACAAATCTTGGGCTTCAAGTCCAAAGACTTACTGAGTTCAGCTCCTGTTGTCCCTCTCTGTAAGGCTCCTGCATTACTTCTCCTTTTATACGTGGGAACTCTCAGTAAGTCAGAAGTTGTGCTTGAGATTAGTATGAATAGCAAGCAGATGGCAGATACCTTCCAGGGATAATTACAGTGTTGTGGAAAGACTTATATGATAAACACTGAAGGAGTGCAAATGGAAGGGAAATGCAGAATTAATGAAGTCAGGGCAATAATCCAATTGGGAAGAAAAGTTTAAAACGAGGAGTAAAATCTGAAAGGGTCTCTGTGGGAATATTAATCATTTGGGGACAGACTGAACCTCTCTCTAGTACCGTATGCCATCACCCTTCATGTGCTGTACATGCACAAACATTTATGCACTGTGCAGTGACCAGGGTGGCTGAAAAGAGTTAAACATACGCAATTTCTGCTCCCTTTAGGCACCAGATAATCACATGTGTTTTCTTGCCAACATTGTAAAGAACTTCATGTAAATAAGTGACAAGTTCATAATACTCAGTATACCTGCTTGTTTCTGCAGATGCTTGCATTGCTGATTGTACCTTATATTTTATTCAGGTGCTTTCATCCCACGGTGCAATGAAGAAGGTTATTACAAAGCCACGCAGTGCCATGGCAGCACAGGGCAGTGCTGGTGTGTTGATAAGTACGGGAATGAGATAGCTGGCTCAAGAAAGCAAGGGACAGTTAGCTGTGGTGAGTAATGATGTGCTTTCCTCAGACAACAGAGGAATTAACACTGTTGTAAGCCCTGCCACTGCTGTACGATAACTAAAGTGACAACAGGGAAACATGACTATCAGTGTTCAAAGTGCTCCTGTATTTTCATATTCAGATTGCAAATGGGGCCCTTATATACGTATTGGTCCTTTGGACTTGGGGGGCGTGCAGCAGAAGTTAACAGGCAATAACCTAAGATATTTTTGCTACCAGCCTGGAAAATGTAATAATTTATATGAAAATTAAGGCTATTGGATTCCTATGATTGGTTATTAAATACATTGTTCTGTATACTCTGGAATGCACGTTTACTGGGACTTTCAGGAATAATGTCTTTCCAGACAAAGGAAAGCCTAAATGTGTAAAATTTAATAAATTAACAACCAAGCCCAATAAAATTGCTGGCAGGACAGTATTCTGTAGATATGTGAACTCACCAGTCAGGTGCTGTACCTAGGCAAGATTTCAGCCATATCCCTTCAGAGGGCTTCAGGGACAGTTGTGGCTGCAGCTTTTTTCCTCAAGAAGGAACAGAAAAAGCAGAGGCTTAGAAGGGCTGAGATGCCCAGAGTAGCTATATTTGCAGAACATGGTTTATGCACTCAAAATCAATTTGTGGAATATTTTTAGCCTGGTTTACAGAATAGTGATGGGGTGAATGTATTTACAAATGAGTAATGATTTTTCTGGCCTGCATGCATGTGATCTGAGACTCTCCAGTCGAGTCTCTAGGAGGAGGGCAATGCGTAGCTTTTTATGCAAGTACATTTTTCAGAGTAAAGTGATAGATATTTATCCCAGTTCAGGATGAAAAATTGAAATTTAGAGGTTGTTTCATGCTGACGCAACAAATTTAAAAAGTAACATTGCAAATGACAGTGACTTCAGTGACCAGGGTAGGGATGAGCGAGGGGTTTGGTGTCATGTGGGGGAATGACCTTTCCCAATCACCTCTTTCAGAAGAAGAGCAAGAAACCTCAGGGGATTTTGGCAGTGGTGGATCTGTTGTATTGTTGGATGATTTGGAAGAGGAACCTGAAGCCGCAAAAAAAGACAAAGAAGGGAGACTGAAGATTCATGTAAGAGCAGCTAATGAAGATGATGAAGATGAAGATGATGATAAGGATGATGAAATTGGCTATATATGGTAGTGCCCGTCATAATGAGGACTCACGTTTTGCACAAGATGGCAAGTCACATCATATCTCTGCCATTGTATCTGAGAGTACCTGGCACAAATATTCCCTCTCTATTGAGTTTTATTTTCTATATTCTATTTAATTTGAAATACAACTTTTTTTTTTTTTTCCAGCAAGGACTGTTTGGAATACAGCTTTTGTTCAGTTAGTTTGGGGGATTTTTTTTTTTGTTCTATCCACAGGGGCAATTAATTTTATTTCAAAAACATTTCATGTCTTAATCCACACTTGCACAGCTAATGAAATATATGTCCTGTGAAAGAAGAATCACAGAAGGGGCTTGACAAACCAGTAAGGCTTAGAAGCCCTTCTCATGTTAGAGAATTTATGTCATAAATTGTTACCTGGATCACATCAGAAACGGCAATTTTTCTTTCATGAAGAAGGAAAAGCAGTAGCCTCATTTTCTTGTGCATATTTGTTACGTTCAAGTTAAGAGTAATTCCTTTGGATAGTGACTTCTGGCTGCCCAGTGCCAGGGGTTTAATCAAGAAAGAAACCCATTGGCAGGATTTTCTCTTCCTTACATTCTCTGAGAATGAGTCCAACAGGCTTAGCCCAGCCCACCCTGAAGGCAAAGCTCCCGCCAGAGCGTAGATCAGCTCACTGACGCTATTTGGTTAAGGAACATGGCCTTGATCTTAAGGGATGCTGAGAAGGTGCGGCTATCACGGACCAAGCCCTACAGGCAGGGAACAGAGTCCGTCTGCCTTTCAAGGTGTTTAAGAGTGTTTTGTGAATTTGTAGCATCGTAACCACCTCCATAACTGTTCCTCAGCTTCTGTCTGAACTCATTTGCACTAACATCGTGCAGGCTCTGCTGCTTGCTCACACACGATGGAGCTGCCTGTTCTTACTCTTTAGCAATCCCTCATTCCAAAGTTATAAAGCTGTCAAAGACATTAACCATCAAAACTAATAAACTGTCGTTCCTTTAATTTAAATAGTTAATATTTATTTGGCCTGTTTAAAAACGCAAGTTTAGGTGGTCATGTTTCAAAAGCAGAACCCCTTTGCTCCGTGTGACAAGCTGCACACACGTAATACGTACACATAAAAAAAGAATAGTATTAAAATACAACCTGTGATTCCCTCAGCATCTCCCATATATTCACAGCTCTTCAACTGTATCACAGCATATTGACATTAAATTATTTGCTTTGTCCTTTCCCGTTGCAGTTCTCTCATGCAGTAATGCACTGTGGTGACCTTTTATTATTGTTGCTGGGTTTAGAAACAGTAAGAGGTACCTTACTCTTGCATTAGGATGCAGCTATAAGTATTTTAGCAGTGCCTGTGATTTGCCTGTGAGTTATTCTGCAGAATGAAAAATGTGCTTATTACACAGAAAACTAATTAGATCAATTTTTTTTTATTTTTTTATTTTTTTCCCCCTCTAAGTTAGTGTTGGCTATGGAGGTGGAGACAGCATGGAGTCAAAACATGGCTGGTTACATATTTGCTTGAAAGCAGGAAAATACCATGCTAGGTGGCAGAAGTCTTTTTTTTTTTTTTTTCAGGACACTGGCCCAAGGGCTGTGGTCCTCAGTCCTCTCCAAAGTCAGTGCCCACCGCAGAGCCTGGCAGGGCTCTGCAGCCCCTCTCCCCCTCTGCGTAGGGCCTCTCTGCTTTCAGACATGATCAGGAAAGCAATACAGAAGAGGATCTCCTTTCAGACACCATGTGTTGCAGGGGCTCGGTTGTTTTCTCCTCTTTCATTTCCTATTTATCTAGATCAATGACCTGAGAACAAAGAGCAAGCCTGCATAATTTTTATTGATGCAGAAGGATGTGTAAAATCGTGAGGAATTTGTTGTGTGTTGTTTCACGCCCCCACATCCTCCCAGAAATCTGCCATCACAGTCATTTTGCAAAAGCCGTGCAATCTGCCCTGCCTCACATCCCTTTAGCTTTTGAAAATTTATTTAAAAATCATTGTCCATGAGCTGCACAGCACACACATATGCTTTTTCTGCTCGCCTTTCATAGAAAATTACGCTGATTTGCGAGAGGAACAGATACAACCAGCATTTCTGTTTCCTTAAATAGTATGATTTTGTGAGAAGCAACTGAACACCATCAATAGCTTGCTTCTCCAACGTGGTGGCTGGTTTCCTTCTGGTATTTTATTAATTAAACCCATACTCTGGGTCTAGCTCTGCCGTCTTGTGCAGAACCTGCCTGAAGCAGAGTTGCCCTTTCACTCTGACATAAAACTGAGGGCCACAATCAGTAGAGTTATGCTTATCCTCCTGACTGGACTCATTCTCTACACATAAATGGTTTTTTTCTGCAGCCCTGTGTCCCTTTGCACTGGCTTATCCTGAAATGATGCCTTACTTCAAAGGCCACATAGTAAATCCCTTCTCCCGCCCAGCACCTCACCAGGGTAAAGCCTGTCGAACCAAGCCCTTGCAGACAGCTCCAGGGTCCAAGGCTGCAGCCCTTCTGTGTCACGTGCAAACATGCAAGAGGGTTAAATAAAAGCTGTTAAATAAGCCTTTAAAAGTGAACGTGGACATCCTTCAGTTTACGTGAGCAGCCACACCACCACCATCCATTTCTCAATACCATTGATCCTCTCCTAGATGTAATCTCTCACATGCAGCTATTCCAAATGAGAACTGGCAGGTTTTCTATCTTTATCTTAGACTATAAAACAATTACTGTCTCTCAGACTCACTAACTCAAACATGCTGCGGGTCCCAGTCAAACGCTCTGTGCCCAGCCCAGACAGGCTAGAGAGCACTTTGGATGACCCCGGTAGCACATTTCCCTTCGCACAGAAACAAACAAAAAAAAAAAAAAAAAAAAAAAAAAAAAAAAAAAAAAAAAAAAAGCAAAACACACACACACACACACACGTACACACATCTTAACCCTGCTGCCCTGGATTCAGGCAGACACCCCAGCCAGGCTGTTGTGTCGTGCAGATGTTCTGCTGAATCAGGAAACTGGAAAAACGCCGTTGTATTGCCCGGTTCAGTTGGGCATGGCTGCCAGAGGGTTTGAAGAGAGCGCTGCGGAACCACAAGGTGCCACAGCCTAGTCAGGAACGGGGCGGACGGGCTGTCATGCTTGGGAGGGACTATGGATTGCTTTGAGAGCGAGTTCCCAAGTATTACAAAGCTATTTAGCAAAGCCCTTTCCTGAGCCACTGGCATCCTCCAGTGGCTGGGGGATCTGCGCCTATATATACATATGTATATGTATGCGTGTCTGTATATAAACGTTTATACACATACATGTGTGTGCAGATGTGTGTGTGTGTCCAATTGGGGAAGATACATTAAAAAAATGTTTAATTTCTTTAAAAGAAACCAGTGATTCTACCAAGAACCAGTGCTCTTCCAGATGAAGCTTCATGCTTTGTAAAGGATTTAATTTGCTTCCGGCTTTCAATTCCTTTTCTCTTTTTTTCTTCTTTTTTTTTTCCTTTTCTCCTTTTTTTTTTCCTTTTTACAAAAGAGGACTTCCCATCTGCATCAAGTCATTGACCTTCCAAACATTGTTCTCATCGTGAAAACAGAATCAGAGTTGTCCCATTCTTTCAGAGACACAAACCAAATTTTAATCTCATTTTCTTTTCGTATTAGAGATGATGAAATACTGTTAGGTATTGCTTTATGTTTCAAGGTGTCCTTTTAAGTACCGTGGTTAAATCAAAATCTCCTTGAGTTCAAGTTTCAGCACAGTTGGGTTTTTTTGGGTCATTACTGGCCTTTGCTGTGAACACAAAGAAACCTTTTCCTTTTCTTTGCCTTTTTTTAAGCTATTCTCTACTATTATTTTAAACCATTTGAAGTGTTTATTTAATATTTATTCTACAGTTTATATTAAAAATGTAAAGTTTATATTTAAAACAACACTGTTTGTTAGTGAATGCTTCTCTTTGCCTCTCCAGCCTAGTCTGTTAGTCTCAGTGTACATTTCTGGCATGGGAATATTTTGATATTAGAAGTTTTGTAGCATTTTTCCCCTCAAGCAGCAAATGACATAGATCTAAGGTCACCACTTGATACAGACCACCAGATCGCTCAAGCTTAGCTTCCTACATTTGTTGGCTTTTACTGCAGTCCCTTCTGTATGCCATTCAAGTTCCTTTAATACATAGACTGCTTTGTACAGTTACTATACATCAAAAAGCCCTTTCTACAGTAGGTGGGTTTTGGTCTTTTTATACTTTTCTCAATGCTGTTGATGTCTGTTACTGTTAACCGTGTAGATCTGTAAGGAGAGATCCAAATATTACGTGTTTCAGTTTGATGTCCCTACTGTAGATGGATGTAGACTATCATAGTAAGTAGAATTGCATAGTAAATTCTGAATGCTTTTTCCATAGGAATTAAGTGGAATGTGAGCATTTTGCTATCTTTGGTTAACTGTAAATGCTTAACTGTAGTCTGAAATAGTTGCATTTTTGTCTGTCTCAATAAATTTTAATTTGTCTGCGACTTCTTACTGCCTGTCCTCAATTTTTTTTTAAACTTTGGGGAATCAAAACTACTTCAGTACCTTGAGTCAGCATTTAATCATGCGTGGAAATGGATGGTCTTTTATATTTGGGTTATGCCTTGTACCTCTGTGCAATGTCAGCTGTAATCCGTGAAGTTAACGTAAGGTCTCTGGAAAGCTGTATTTCAAAAGCAGAAATGAAACCAAACTGAAAGTATTAACTGTACCAAAAATCAGAACTTTTCAAATTACATTAAAATTGATCTTTAAGGAACTAGTGGGGGGGGGCGGGGACGGATGACACCTTTCCATTTTATTTCCTGCTCAGTTTGCAAATGATGTTTTTCTGCCTGTTCTGAAGGTATCCTGGGCAATTCTGTAACCACAGACAAAATCATATTGAATATAATTGGGGGAAGCCACCCTCACTTACCAATAGCTGGTTTTGTGTCTCTGTTATTAAATCAGAACTCCTCTTTAATATTATTAACTAATTTAATCAGCCACCATTAATATAGTGCTAATTACAGAGTTTTAAATGCTGTTCTATCACCTTTCCTCTGTATTTGCAATATTAAAGTACCACATAAAAGCATGAAAAGTATTTTCAAACATTTGTGCAATTATCATCACATCAGGTAACATGATTTATAACTTGTCTGTCCATACCCCATGGACTGGGTTCTGTCATCGAGGGTCAGAACCTGCCTTAAATTGCCATTAAATTACTGCATTCATTAGTTTATTTTTACTGTGGGTACCACACGTTACTTCCAGTTATGTTGCCTTACCTGACTGTGAGAACAAATGGCTTTTCCCTTTCCAAAACCACTCTGAGACTCTTTGAAGTGTTTGATCTTTCATGTTGAAGTGCTCCAGCTGTGCCAGATGTCAGATACTGTGGCGCCGAGAGCTGGAAGGCAAGCAAACCAAATCCAAAGCTTAAGAGTGTGCGAGTTGCAAATGAGATTTTTAGTTGTGGGGAAGGGTTAATGATTTGAGGTTTGGGGAAGAGTTTTAATACCCCTTCTAGATTCAGAATTGCAGGAGTCTCACAAGCTTGTTTCGTATTACACACGCATAGCTGTGCGCACACACACACACACCCTTCTGTATACAAATGTGCGTAATATAGATGATCATAACGTGTGTGTGTGTGTGTGTGTATATATACATACACACAGTATTTCTGTGTATATATACACATAGGTGTATGATCACCTGCCCTGAGAAGTGTTGATCAAGGCCAGAAGGTGCCGGAGTATTCTGGGGGGAGTGAGGGAGAGCTCACAATGTGGGACTGAACCCCAGTTAGCAGCGTCGCTGCCATCTCTGAGGAGCTGCTGTGCAGAAAACTGGCAGGTCCCTCCTGTTACCACCTTTCTGCTGCTGTCACTGCTTTCTTTAGACTCTCCTAGTTCGGGGATATACACTTCTGGGGATTCCTTCCATGCTTCATATAAGGTTGAGGTGGTGTTTTATCACCCATACTTTGCTAATCTCGTCTGTATCAACTTGCGCTGGGCTAAATGCTGTGAGTGAGTGCTTTGGTTTCATTACATTACAACACTCATAGTGGATTATTATGTCCCACCTGTCATGTCTTGATAAGCTGCACTGATTTACATTTAGCTTTTCCATGATTCTCTCCTGACTGGATGAGGATCGTGGACTAATTTTCATGAACTCCCTGCCAAGGGATACAGCCTTAGCTCCCCTAAGCACGCTGAAGAGTGTCTGCGGGGCTGAAATGTTGCTCCAGCAATGGCAAAAGGTCAGTTTGGGCTTTAAGGGAAAATGATCAGCAGGGATGGCTCTTACCTGGGGGACAGGGGAGTCCATCCACACCCAGACATTGTACTTGGCATCCTCAGTAAAATCTGCCAGACGAGGTAGTACTGCACTGAGGGGGCGCTGATACCTCTGTATGGAAAAGGGCACACAGGATAAAGTTACAAGATCAACCATTTACAGAGAAATAGCCTTTTTTCCCCATTTTCCAATACATAAATATTTTCCTCACCGTACTGATACGATCTTGCTAATGACTATACTGTTCTTGTTTGGTTTTTTCTGTGAAACCTCCCCTGTGATATGCATGCATACACTTACACTTACACTTACACACACACACACACACACACACACTTATTTTCTCTTATAAAATTTTCTGTTGAGATCCACACCAGCTATAAAACAGGAGCATTACAGCCTTCACTGATGATTAGGTTCATTTTTCCTTAAGCACTGACAGTCAAATGGTGAGATATTAAAAAGAAAACTCATGTCACAACAGCTTTGCACACTGTACAGCTTTTTGAATAGATTAAAAAGCGGCAGAGAGCTATTAATAAGCTTTTGACTTTCTGAGCACTCCCATCTTTGAAACTAGACCATCTTTCTCAGAGGTGATGGGGGAGGCAAAGTGAAGAGCAGGTTTTATGCAGTCTTGGGGAGAAAAAAAAATGGTGAAATGACTAGATTGGGGTAAACTGTGAATGTGAGGGACAGACCCACTGCACATGGACAGAGCGGTCCTACCCGCTGCTTTCAGGACAGAGCCAACTTTTCATCAGTGGAAAATTCCCACCAACTTGAGCAGTTGAGGATCAGCCCATCACAACCCACAAAGTGCAGAGGCAGGTTCCTGCTGCAATCTGGGTTGGTCCTGTCCCTGGTGTGCAATATCTAGTAACTGCTTGAAATGTATCCCTGAAAACTTGGATTAAAAAAAAAACAAACAAACAAACACAAACCACACGGTGGCATTCCAGGAGGAAGGGAAAAGCAAGGCTAGAAGCAAATTCAGATTTTGCCAGCACTTTATCAGCCCAGTAATGAGGCAGAGATATGTAAAAAGCTCTAATGTGAGGATTGAGTGACTACGAAGCCACCCTCCCAGCTGTAGCTGTGCTAGGAACCCCTCTGCTGATAACAGGTTTAGAAAGAAATACGGTGTCTGGCAGCTACTGGCTTTGAGTATCAACTTCTTTCACATATCACTATAAATTCCTGCAATTCCATGTTAAAGGGTTGGGCAGAGAGAGAGTTTGTAAAGAAAACTTAAAATGCAGGGTCTTTGCCAGGTAGTAACTGCCTTTTCTCATCTATAGTTACTCAATAAAAATCATTGCCGGAGCATGACTCTACTTCCATTCCCAGCCAATACATTTGCAATCTGGCCCTTAAACATGGGAAAATCGACCCCCAGAGCGTATTGTTAGAGGAAAGGTCCAGAAGCACACTGGTATATGCTTTGAAAACATATTACCTCTGAAATTATTTGCAGGTTTTTGAGAGACTTGCCAGATTTTGACACTGATTTTTCTGTGTTCGGTATCACAAATCCAGTTAATGCAAATATATTCAGGTAGGAGTCTGTACAAGTAGGAGCATACAGACACGGCTTTACTCCATCACAGATGATGTATCAATTTATCACAGCTGGCAAGGAATTGACCTAAATAACTACTAGCCTAAAGTAAAATTAAATAAAATTGTGACTGTAACAAGATGTAGCTTTTCACAGATTAATACAGGCTATTGAAATACTTCGGGTTACAAGGGGCTATTACAGAAGATCAATATTCACGTTGCTTTTGGTACAAGTCACGTAAGAATCTGACACCTGCAATGAGCTTTGGTGGGTGTTAGTGACATTAAATGCTGCAGTTCACTTGCACTCCTCCTGCAAGAGCTGCTGCTGCGGTGAGAGAAGTCAGGGTGCAAATAAATGTGTCGGCTAAACTCCTCCCTTGTCGTGTACCACGTCGGCCAGCTCTGGAAGGTGGGCACTATTCAGTTACCCAGAAGGAATTATTATAGATTTATTTTGGCAAGCAAGAGAGCACAGTTTGGCTTAGCTGGCTGTAGTGGTAGAGACAAACATCAGGCTGGTTGTTAAACTCCCCAGAATAACTCTGATATCCTCTCAGAGCAGGGCTGTCATCCCGTCTGGTCTCAAGCCCAGTTTCCAACCTCAGTTGAAATAATTCTCTCCCAAACGATTCTTCCGTGAGGGGTTTTTTTTTTTTTTTTTTTTTTTTTTTTTTTTTAAATTTTGTCCCCAAGCCTGTGAGTTAATTGTTTTAACAATGAGCTGTATCACTGTAGAACAGGATATCTGATTGCTCATCTGGTTTACATAATTGATTAATTAATAACCTTGCTAATTGAGGATCATGAAATCCTCTCTTAAACTGGAGCAAGGCAGTGTCCCAAACTACTGCTTGTAGGGATACATTAACATCGGGACGTTTTGGCTGCTCCATCTTCGCCAGGCTCTGCGGTGCAAGTCACGGCACGGCATTAACTTAATGGAGCTCCTGGGCTGCTGTAGAGATGCACGATTTGTGGGTGAACCTTGTTTTCACCTATACCACAACATTTCAAAACTTCTCCCCCTTTTTTTTCCTTCTGCACCCCTGGCAGCAGCTCCTTGCATTTGTGAACTCCGGGGCTGCCTCTCTCTTGCTTTACACCATCAGCCACCGTCTACATTGTGCAGCGTGGTACAGCCCCACAGTCGGTTTTAGTTAGCGACATTTTCTACCACTTTTGGCCAAGTGTGAATGCCAGCACATCTACAAAATAAAGTGGCAAAGCAGCCCTCCCCCTCTGCTACCTGAAAACTGCACTGCGAGCTCTTCTCAAAGGCACTGTGTGTTCGGCACGATGTGACCTACATCTTTTCTTGGAAGCAATCACAGCTGAAATAAGGCATAGCATGATGGATTCTGTGCTATTAAATGAAAGAGGACTATCCATGGCAATAACCACCGACAATAGTTTGCATTTTAATGTCATTTCTTTTCTTATTATGCCTAGACATGGAGCAGGATGTATTTCTACCATGTGATATTCTCTGCAAGCCACCAGCAAGGTGGAGGGATGCAATCCTTACCTTAAACACCGCTCCTGAGAGTGCTTTCCAATTGCGCTTCAGTCAGTGAGCAGCAAATATTTTCCTTCGAATCTAATGAAATGTTTTCTCAGTCCTACCCACTTGCATCTAACTAGACACAGACCCACGGGAACTTCACCAAACACTCAGGATTTCATCCACCCACGGAGGGCAGGTGAGCAGAGACCTTCCTGCTGTGCTTTGGGCATCGAGTTGAAGGCGTCCTAAGGCAAAGCAGCCATCTTCTGAAACAGTAAATGAAGGTCTAAGTGTCATTCCTCACCTTGATTTGCAGAAGTCAGGAATCACCCAGGAGACCAGGGTGTAAATCTCTCAGCCCTCATCCATCCCAAATCTCTTCCCGCACCGCTCGGTCTGTCCTCAGTGCTGCTCTCCAGCTGCTTTCTAACCCCTGCAGCAGTGGCTAAAGCCTCATCCCTAATTCAGGCTGCAGTCCCACTTGCACTGAAGGGGCTTGGCACGGCCTGGTCTTGATGAGAATTTAATCCCGAGGATCTGGAATGGATTTAGGACCTGGAAACAAAGAGATGGGTTAAAATCCTACACAGTGGGCAAAAAAATGACTTATACGTGCATCTGCAGAAGCTAGGGGCAGTGACCATTTATTTCTGAACATCACAAGGATTTCTGAGACATCGGGGAGGGAGGGGGAAAGTGGAATGAATGAAGAGACAGGAGTTAGCCATCAAAAGCCCCTTCTAAATGGCTAAATTAGGAAAGATAAATGCCATCCCATTTTTTTTTAATCTATCTATGGCGGTGTGAGAAAGGCTGGTGGCATCGCTCCTGCCAGGATCATTTGTACATCGGGGTGGATGTAGGAAGTGGGCTGGTAACGCGTCTGACTTCCACGCTGCCGGTGAAGGTTTTGAGTAATGAATCCAGGGGCTAATCCATCGTGCCTGCCATTTCAAAGAGCCCTGATAACCTCGTCTCTTCTTGTTTTCTTCTCTAAGGCTTTTTCAGATTTACTAACACAAGTTTTCCCTGAAGAGGGATCACATTTCAGGCCTGAAATGCTCTGATTATTTACAGTTTGTCACACCGTAATTTATATTTATTGTTTGTGGCTCTTATTTACATGTGTTCATTACTTTCCTATTTTAGTCATTTATCCTACATGTCCCCCCCCTACTTTTTCAATTATTTCGCATACTCGCAGTTTATCAATTATATTGCCAAAATGCACTTAGAGAGCATAATTTGTTTCTAATGCATGATTTTTTGACAGCATGATTTGTTTTCATGTTTGCAGAGAATTTTAAAATGACAGTGACTCTAGGGCAGAGAATAAAAAGTTGTGAAGCTTTTTCCTGTGGAGATTTGCACTCTCACATACACAATGTGCACGTTGCGTTGGCTGACCTGCTCATCAAGCCCACATCGGTTCAGCTCTCCGTGTGGTTTCCCTCCCTCCCAGAGGAGTGTTAGAAACTCTTAGAAATGCTATGTGCTCACTCAGTGCTAGTCCCCCCCACCAGGCAGTATTGCCAGGACACTTTAGAGGCTGATAAAGGAACTTCAGTGGGCTGAAGGGGTCACTGAGCCTTGCTGGCCTCCTCAGACATGGTGTTCCCTTCGGAGTAATCATCGTTAATGCTGAGGATGAAAGAGCCCTCCCTCCCTGCCCATCGCTGGGTTTGCTTGTGAAGCCAATGGATCCTTTCTAGCAAAACGTGCTCTCACGAAGTGGGTCCCTGTTTGGGGGGGGCTGTTAAGGGCACTCCCTCAGCTCCAACCTCATTGGTCCCTTTGCTTATTAAAAAATTAAAATATTTTCCCAGCTGTCTGGCTTTTACTTTTGGAGCTTTACAGGCTGTCGTGCTCAGGCTGGCGAGGCAGGAGGATCAGCTCTTCAGAGATGAGTGCCAGGCAGCACAAACCCTCCCACCATCCCAGGAGGGTCATCCAACATGCTTTGCTCTAGGACTCGTTACCTGTTATTCATTTACTGAGGCAGTCTGGCCTATGGATGGTGGCTCTCCAAAATGCTGAGGAGATGACAAACACGTTTGCTGGTATTTGCTCTCTTAGTGGTCTCTATCCCAGGTCCAGAGCTTGGCAAGCGCAGACCAGCTGCCACCCATGCCTTTGTTAGCCATAACAATACTTCTAACACATCTGCTGCTTTATACAGCTCCGTAAGACAGCTGAATGCAGAAGGTGTACTAGAAAACGCTTCAAATGTGTTGATCCATCATTTTGCCTCCTCTCCGTGGTCATTAGCTGCCAGGGATGAGACAGTCTGAGCTCTGGCTCTCTAGCACAAAGTCTCTTATGGTTCCAACATCCCCCAGGAAATACCCAGCAATATTCAACCTAAATTTACTGCTCTGCAGCTCCAAGCCGTGACAGAGTTAATCATCCTTCCAGTTTTAGTCTCGTTCCACCACCAGAGCAGGGTGAAAGAAGAGGAAAGGACTGCTCTGGGTCAAAGGCTCGTTTTCAGAGGGATGACACATTGGGAAGGCGGCAAGTAGTCTGCTGGGACACATACAGCAGTGCCAGCTCAGCGGTGACTCAGGCCTAGAGGAAATCTTTTTACCCTTGGGTTCTGAGGCCCAATATTCAGCAGAAATTCAGCTGTGGTTTCTCTGCTGCAGCCCCTAGACCAGTATTCCTCCACGATTTCTGTCACTGAACCTCCCTCAGAGCGTTTTGCTCCCGCGATCCAATTTATTCTGTCCAGCAAGGCTGCAAGGGAGGATTTATGTTAACAAGGTCTAAAGAAACTGTGTCTGACCATTAGTTGCTGAAATCAAATCAGGCTCTGTCTCAGCAAAAGCCCCAGTTAATTGGGCAGCGCTGTGCCAGTAACAGGGAGACGTGGCGCTTATCTCCAGACTGATTTAAAAAATAAAGCTGGCTAGAAGAGTGGGGGTACTGAAAGGTTTTGGGGAAGGTGAGACGATAGATGTTCATTTAAACAATATTTTTTTTTGTCCAGGAAAGGTGAAGGCTGCTGGATGAGCCTGGTGCCCTCAGCGCAGTGGCTGAGACCTCATGCTTTGTTGTCATCTTGTTTTCCCTTTCTGCACGTTTTTTTGGAGCACGTATCAGTAGTGTTGGTAACAGCAGTTAAAAGCACAGCCAGGTTAAAGGGTATGTCTTTAAAGGAACGAAAGGCCAAATCTGCCCCCACTGTGTTCGTGTGAGACCCTTCACGTCCCTCATCTTTCTCCTTGCTTCTGCCTTGCTCCCTGCAAAGCCTTTTCCAAGGTGTCTCAGTCCCCTGGTGTCAGGGGATGTTTCCCAAACATCACTTGTCAGCTTTGCCCAGCAAATAAACGCAGGCTGGGATGGACTTTCTGAGTTTGCACCATCAAAAGATACGCAGCTGCCTTCAAGACGTATTCCAAAACCGAAACATTTTGTATTTTCTGACCTAGATGCTGCATACATGGCTTGTCAAACCCATTTTAGGCAGTAATTCATTTCTGAAGGTTGAAACTGTCTTTCAAAACATGGATTTAAATAAACAGTTGGAGAAGGTAAGAGATAGTAAGAATACATTTCTTAGAGTATTTATGTTCAGAAATCAAAAATTTTCACACTGAATTCAATAAACTAGTCTTATAGGCCTCAAAATTTGCGGTTTGGTTTACAAAATTGGGAGTCAGAAGCAAATTTTGTAGGCTTTTATAGGACTGTGGTAACAAAGAGCATAATCACTTTTCGGATGAAAAAGCTGTATACGTCTTACAGCTTTGTACAATAAAACTGCAAATGGGAGATCAGATGGGATGTTTAATTCCTAGATTGGGTACATTTAAAAAAAAAAAAAAGGTTATTTAGGTTAAAAGAAATGTATTCACTCCTTGGCCAGGGCTGTAAATCAGCGCAGCTCCACTGAAAGCACATAAGTTAAGGAGATGCATAGGAGGGAGGACCTCGTATTTTTAGATCAGAAGGAATCACAGGAGATTCACTGTCATCCTGCAGGGTTTATGAAGGCACTTTGAACCTTTGATCCTTTTATGGATCTCCCACCATGACTGCTTTCTTTAAGACTGGTTCAAAACCAACTGAATCAAAAGCGTTTCTGTTTCGGCAGGGACACGGCCATGGCCATCTCCTGCCCCGCATGTCCCAGGCGGGCAGCAGGAGCTCGAGGACCCCCGGGCTGACAGCAGGTTGGGAAACAGCAGCCTCAGCACGCAGCTGAGAACGGAGAGAGCAAAACAGACCAGTGGGCAAAAGTTTATACCTAGCTGAACGCAGCGTTCTCAGATGCAAGGCACGGCTTTTCTTCATATCCAGCTCCATTTAGCCCCCAGCCAAGCCAGTGGGGATCTGCTGTTCCCAGGAGCTGATCCATGCCCACGAACAAACTTCCTTAAGCTGCAAGAATTCCAGAGAGGATGCTCTGAGGAAACACTTGCCCCTGACTTTCTGCTACTGCCATCACAAAAGGGCTCATTCAGCATGGGAGTGTTCAAGCTGCAAATGTAACACTGCAATTCCTCTTCAGCTCTGCACGCGATTCATTTTTGTCAGCAATGTGGGGGTTTACAGCTATTGCTCCCCCCAACTTTCTGCGCCACACAGTCCTGTGTTTCACCTTCAGTCTGACTTTGTAACCCATGGTTGGTTTCAAATCAGCCATTCAGTGTGTTAATGAATGGCTTAACTTTCTGCTTTCTGACGAAGAGTTGGAAAAATGTTTCCGAATTATCAAAAAATAATTGGAATTAAAATTGTAAATGGTTTCTACAAGGGATGTTTTTGTAATTAGTTGCATCTGTGTGATGGAAGCTATTATAAATAACAAAAAAATATGTTTACCTAATCACTAGGAAAGCGCACATTAGCTCTCTAATTAGAAGTCCCTCACGGCTCTGCTACAAACTTTGGACATAAAATAATTCGTTTCATGCTTCCTTTAGCAGGCAAAGGAAACTCCATCAGTTCCATTTGTGCACGTCCACAACTGTGAAGGCAACCACAAATTTAATTGCCAAATTCACACTCATTTATCTCAGCACGTCCCAGCGACTTCCCAGCACCTCATCCTGAGCACAGCCCACAGACACCAAGAGCCAAACTGGTCTGTGCCATTCCAGTCGCTGCGGGTCCGACACATCCTTTGGGTGCTAATGGGGGGACAACTGCAGGTTAGAAGGTTGAAGCAGGTTCAAGCACACCTGGGTGCGGAGGGATAGGATGGAGCAAAGCTATGGCAGCTCCGAGCAGCCATGGGATTTTTTTCTGGAAGAAATGTCATTTTCTGTTAGCGTGAGCTTGGTTTGGTTTTGCTGTAAATTGTCTTGCAAACTGCTCTCGTGTTGAGGAGCAAAGACCTTTTGCCACTCTGCCTTCCACACAGAATGAGGTTATCACAGACAGGAAGGGGCTTTCC